CCTCGGAAAGAATTTATACCGGAAATTAACAAATGAACAGAGACATAACACTACGATAAACATTCCCTCTAAAAATGACTCAATTGAACACTCATGCTATACTGAAACCATCTAAATCATAACACTCGCATTAAACTTAAACAGTCGTGTATATCTAACATGCTCCTGGTGATCCTGGTAATGATTGAAACAAGCTAAGATCTTATCGTGTAATGTGTATAAAACCATGGGCACTGCTTCTGGTGAGCCTAGTAATTATGGAAAGACAAGGTCAAATTTTACTGGTTCTTTATCTGTTTTTCTGATGAACGTGGATTATATTGGAAGGATGTGGGCCCATAATAAATTCAATATCTGTTAATTATAGCCTTGATGCAACAAATTATGTTGTTTACACATAAAATATAATCTTTTTTTATCAAAAATAAAATCTGATATAGTGAAATTAAGTTGTAGTATGAGTGATATAGTTTTAAGACATAATTGTAATATAAAACTTGCATTGTATTACCAAAAACCAAACCTAACTTGAATGGTTCTTTTCATATATTGTGATATGTATTCTGAGTTCAGTATAACCATATTTACTACACTTCTTCTTAACATTATTTGTTCCATTTTATTGACTACTATTGATTTATATTTTACACTTAGGGAGAAATAGGACCTCCAGGTCCCCCAGGTCTAGTTGGTCCAACTGGTCTTCCAGTAAGTATTACCACAGAAACATTTGACTTGGTTCATAGAAGTCTGTACCAATTTAAAGTTGTTAGGATCAATATTAGCTTATAATTTAAATGTCATTAATTGGAGAGTTGCATTGTCACTTAACTAAACTAATTTTATACAAAGGATTTAACGTATGATGAAACTCCACAGTATATTAATATTTGTTTCCCTGTTTGCCTTGATGAAGAAAGGTCTGCCTTTCAAAAGTGCTCAGGTTATAGGGTTTGTATTTTTGTCATTATATGTGTCTGGTTGGTAAAATATAAGGAAAAAAGAAATCACTTTACATAGATTTATTTCTTCCAAATAGAGGGAAAAAATCTAATTATTGATTACTAGAACTTATGATGTCAAGAAAAAGATTTTCTTTCTGTTTTTTTAATGGTAAACGTTTCTTGATGAAGTTGGTATGATATATACTATTTCTAATATTTATACTGTTTGAAATACTATCTCAAAACAAGTTACTAGAATTTTCTTAACTTTGATGCTGTTTCTAGTATGACATCACAAATTTCTATATTTCTAATTGAAAGTATGATTAAAAAATAAACTTTCTCATTTCTTATTAGTAAGTTATTTTAGAGTCTTTAATATTACTTCATTGCCATAGCTATGTTGAAAAATACTCACTAACTTTTGTGGACATTTTTTTTATGATGTGTAAAAATACAAACATTTTAAAAATAAAAACTATTAACTTTAATTTTCTAATTATTTATTATTACCATGTGCACAAGAATAGCATGTAACCATTTACTTATAAAATTATTATAATTGATTTACAGTTATGGTAATATATAATTATATAAACATTACATAAAATCATTTCAACACTAGATTTTAAAATATGTTTGCCTCACTAAGTTTGAGAGGTTGGCTGCAGCCTTGTACCTCCAATATTTGTTATAAAATAAAATCAAAATTCGAGTATTTTTGTGATTTCTATCAGGGACCACCGGGGCCTTCAGGTGTTGGTGGAAGTGAAGGAGCTATGGTAAGAGAGAGCGCAGATTTAGTATGTAAGTTAAGAAATCTCAGAAAGCAATAATAAAAAAGTTATGCCACTTTTTTCCTGAACTAAAACTACAGATTTTCAAAATAATAAAAAACTCTAAAAGGATAGCTTTGAAAATTAAATCAATTCCGATTTGTATTTGACTTTAAAATGTTCAGGTTCTCGAATAGCATATTATGTATTTTTCACATTGCATTTAATGCATAATGAGTAACTAAATTTATACAAATGAAATACTTATTTAAAGTTTTTAAAAAATAGTCAAATGAAACGTTTTTACATATTATATTTAATTATTAATTTTAAAATTATTCTAACCGGTTTTTAACTGACGAGAAGTAATATATGAAAAACACACAGTTAATTTTTAGTAACTAAAATTTCAGTGTTTGATAATTGTTCTTTTCAGTAATTTGTCTACATTGCTTAATGTATTCTATTAAAATATATGACCAATATAGTAATGTTTGTTTTGCTATTTAGCACAAAGTTACACAATAAGCTCTTTGTGCTGTGCTTGTCACAGTCATTGAACCCCATTTTTTACTGTCATAAGCCCTCACTGCAATAAATAAACAAAACCACTTTCTGGGTTAGCAAAGAGAAATGGGCACTAACCATGATGATATAGTTGGAAACAGAATTAAACATATTATTCTTAATATTTTTTGTGATATACCACTTACTAAAAAATAAACATTGGTTAAAATTTTGACTTTTGTTCATCAAAGATGAGTTTCATTAATATTATGTAACAGAATAACTCATTTGTGTTTAGTAATTCTAACATTCAATGTTTTACCATTTCACTAATGATTGAAAAATAGAAGAAAAATCTTGGGATGACTGCCATAAATAAAACACAATGATGAAAGTGTAAATACAGAAGTTTTTTCAGTGAGATGTTGTTTCTGTGTGTACTAAGGTATTTCTATTTTTCAAGTATCTCATTACGTGAGATGTGTTTTGTTGTTCATAAAAATAGGGCCCAAAGGGAGTTAAAGGAGACACTGGACCAAGAGGACCAGATGGCTTACGTGTAAGTTTCATCCTAAAGTTTTTGTTCTTATTTTAGGTAAAACTGGATCCTTTACACTTTTTAATGGTCATTTTGTTTTCAATTTTTCTGACATATTCTATGAATATTTTCTGTTCATTAATAAAGGAAGTTTTGCACAAGTGATGTAATAACACTATAGTTCTCTATTGTTTATTGCTGTTAGTTAATAAAGTGTAAGTTATGAAATTCTGTACTATAATATCATAAAAAGACAGAGGTATAAACTTTCTGTTTGAGTACTAGTTTCTAAGTAATTTTCATGTTTACAGGGTGAGGTTGGAATACCTGGAAAAATAGGACCAATAGGCAGGCCTGGACCAAAAGTGAGAAATTTCTTTTACATTTACAATTTTATTTTCATAACCCATCACTTAATACATAAAATTTGACTATCTATGAATGCAAAAAAAAATTTTTAGATTATCAATAATTTGGAAGATATGCTTATATAAAACTAGAGGAAGTACCTGGCTTTGCTCGGATTATTAGGTTGATATATCTTAGATGACTATGTCAATGTGTATATTCTGAACTTATTGTAGCATAGAAGAACAAAAATATTTTAAACATTTTTATTTTCCAGAAACATAAAAGAGCAGTAAAGAAAGTACAGTAAATTAAGAATTATTTATTATCAAAGAACTTTATCATTGCATTAAATATTTCACATTTATATTTCATATCCCAAAGTAATACCCAGGAGCACACCCTCAGGGTCCACTTAGTATGGGTGCAAAATTTCAGGTTTCTATGTTATTTCCTCTTAGAGCTATGGTGGTCACACATACACAGACATATAAGGAACCACTTCTTTTCTATGTGGTTTTTCACTAGCTTGCCTCATTAAAAAGAAGTGTATGCACTCACACACATTGATAACATAGATAATACACAGAAACACACCCTCAGGGTCCACTTAGCATGGGTGCAAGACTTCAGGTTTCTATGTTCTTTCCTCTTGGGCTATGGTGGTCACACATACACAGACATGCACATGTCTATCTGTGATTTCTACTTGTAATATAAGGAACCACTTCTTTTCTATGTGATTTTTCACTAGCTTGCTTCATTAAAAAGATGCACATGTAGAAAAGTAATAATACCCAGGTGCACACCCTCAGGGTCCATTTAGTATGCGGCCC